CCAAAAAAAAAGGAAAAATAAAACACACTCAGGATTGGACATATGGTGTGTAGACAACAAATATGGAGGCGCAACATTGGGTAAACCAAGAATATGGCTGACTCTTGATATCATGAAAAGAAGGAAGAAGAGAAGTGATTTTGAGAACGAATGAATTGATTATTCCCTCAAGCCTATTGGAATTTAAACACTTTAAGGACCCGTTTGGCCATAGATTTTGCCAAAATTTATTTGGATTTTTTTTGGCAAATAAATATTTGTTTATAAAATTTATCCATATTTTGACAAATTCCCAAAACCCAAAACCAACTCAAGAGCTGGTTTTGGCCCAAAATATTACTATTATATTTTTTAAAAATTGCCCTAAACTTTTGTATTTTATAAAAGAGCTCACCATTTGTTATTTTGTAACAATATTGCTTCGTCTTCTAGGTCATTTGATAGTGTATTATGTAGTTCATTATAAAAATGATAATTTTGTACCAAATTTATTTATGTCCATGACTATGGTTTGTGATAATATATAATGAATGTTATAGATGAAGGTTGGGTATTTGTGATAGTTTTTAGAATTTGTGGATATAAGTCATGTTTAATGTTTTTTCAAAAAAAAAAAGTAAAATATGTTTTGAAAACTGATGTCCAAACACGTTTCCATCTTCAAACCAAAATTCACCCAAATCAAATTTTTCAAAACAAATTTGGGAATCTATGGTCAAACGCTAGCTAAATCACCTAAAAAAAGGGAACATATAATTACAGTCTAGATATCTTTCTAATGACAAAACTCTAGGGATTGTCGAGCTTTCCATGTTTAGCCGGTGTACACTCTTGTCACATTTACATATTCTTAACACAATCCAATTACATGTTCCAAGGAAAACCTTTAGAGCATTGGAAAAGTTCCTTTGATCTATTAACTTTTGGCTTTGCGAAAAAGTTAGTTCTAGCCTTCAAGCAACTGTTACAGAAATGTTGTTATGTGGTGATAACATTAAAAATGAAAGAAATGCAACGTAAGATTATAAGACCCACATATCATGGACTCTAAGGCATTCTAATGTGCCTCAGCTCTACAAACGACATAGCATGGCAATGTGTTTCAAAAAGAACCCAACCCAAAAATAAGAAATCTCATATGATAAATATTACTGAAGCAGATATATCCAAAAAGGAAAGGGCACATATCCAACACAAGCAGCAAGATGAGCCAGATTTTGTCAATGACTCGTTAGAAGTTTTTTGGTACGGGGCTGAAAATTCTCAACCTCCACTTGATTCTGACAATATTTAAACAAATAAAGGGCAAATACTTCATGCCATTGTTACTTTTAGAGGGCCACTGAAAGAACTAAATATATACCTTAACTAAGTTCACAGCTCGAGGTGAAAAATCGCAGGCATGGACAAATATATTTGGTATTGTAGCAAGCAAAGGAAAGATGGTATTTCCAGCCCCACAGCCAACCTGTAATAAGCAGTATACCATCAGTCCAAGTGTAATGGAAGAAAAGATGAACCAATTCCTTTAACAAACAATATCACATAAATATATGTTAGATTATGATCATCGCATAACAAGAAGGTTAACTAAGCTTGAAAAAATTAGGAGCTTTCAACAGCATTTATTTGAATGCCGAAAAAGCTGATAAGAAAATTACAACTCTCTTGGTGGACACCACAATGGCACCAAAAGTTAAATGATGGTAGCAAATTGAGCTCCTAAGAAAATACAGGAGATAATCTCTATATGATGAAATAGACGGGCATGTACATCCTGTCACAAAATTGTGCTAAAATAGATTGTTAGATAACCATTTGTTATACTTCCAAAAAAGAGGGGCTCAGAATATTCGAAGGATAAAAAGAACAAAAGCATACTAAACTAGAGAATTACCTCAAGTATGACTTTCCCCTCAGTCCCCTGCAAGGAGTAAGAACAAGATCATATCAATATTCAAATGTACCATCGGAGTTTGAGAATAAAAATCATAACTTTCCATAGTCTTGTTCACTCACAGAGAAGTATCGGCCCCATTCTTTGTCCAGGTAGTGCCTGTCTTTAAAGAACTGATTCGAATTTCAAATCCACAAGAAAAAACACCAAAAAAAAAAAAAGACAGCAAAGCATCATCAGTTCAACCACTCAAGGAGGATCAAAAATCAGGCCTTGAGCAAATGTAACAAGTAAACAGTAGACAAAAAATGGAAAATGGAAATGATAGTTAGAGTAGTAAATTCAGATCAAAGGGTTTAAAGAGGGTATAAGAAACTGTACTTTGTCTTGATGGCGCTTGTAGAAGATATCCCAGTACTTCTTTGCATCTCTTTCGTATTTCTCTGTTACAGAAAAAAAAACAAAGCTACAAATTCAGCAACGAAGTAATCCAAACAACGCTAACCCAAAAAACTAGAGAGATGAAGCAGGACCTCGCCAAAAGGGAGAGATTTCACCAGTGGAGGTGGGGTATATCTGTATCTTAGGTGCTGCTGGCTGCTGATCCTTTTCCTCCATCCCCAACTTCACCACCCTAACTTGGAAAATATTCTGCCCGAAGTCAAGATTTGGGGTTTTATTCTACAGTGAGAGGGGGAGCGAGGGAGATTTTGGTTAGCTAATAATGGAGGCTCAAAAACGCCGGGGAGAGGGGCGTGGGTGACCTATCAGTTATATAATTGTAAATCTAAACATTTTGGCTTAAGAATTTATGTGGAATATAATTTTATAAAAAATAACTATGTTTGAATAACAATATTTTAGAATTATTGTTTGAATTAATTTTGTTTAAAGTGGATGTTTTCAATAATGCTGCTCGGTGGGCCGGGCCTGAACCGGACCGGGCCCGCGGTCCTAACGGGCCTGGTGGGCC